TTGTCATATATATTAAACTCAGCCTACAGTCTTACCTGAGTAAATTTCATGAAAAATCCAATTTTCTTAAATGTAAGTTATGTTAGGGACAAAATACGATCTCCACAGGAGCTCAAAGATGTCCCTAACAATACACTCAAACATATTCCATATGTTTTATGTTTTTATGTTTAAACTTATCAATGTAAATTAACATATTTCTATTAAAATTCATAAAATACATATGTACATTTATAATATAAATTAAATACCTTTAGCTGAGCTAGATACTCTGTGCTTTGAAGGGCACTAGTTATTTTAGGAACAAATACCCTTTATTGAGGAAGAAAGTGCTGGATCCACCAATGGAATTAACACCCACATCTCTTAAGACATAGTTCCACATGTCACTTTCTTCCCCACAAATCTCATATTTGTACAATTAGCATCAAATCAACATAAAGTCACCAAAAAAACATGTTGATAAAAACAAAGATAGCCTAGTTACTTATCTTTTTGAAAGCTATTATATATGGTAATCAGTTTTGCCAGCATCATAGCATATAATGCTTTAAAAATAATGTGAGGACTACGTTATTTTTTTAGTTACTATTTTTAATTTATTAGCATTGACTCATAGAGCAAGTTCTTCTCTCTTACTCTCTATATCTGCACTTACATACATTTAAAACCATCCTTTGACTTCAGAAAATACTGAGGTCAGGTTCCCTGTCAGTATGGAAGCTACTGTGATGGGATGGATTTCTGGAAATTATTGAAATATCAGGGTGGAATAAACTTTATAAATACATATCTTAAAGGAGTGTTGGCAGAAGCAAGGAAAATGGGTCAACTTCAGGAAATAGCACAGTCTATTTAAAGACAAAAAAATCAGGAAACAAAATGGTGTTCAGTTGCTGGTAAATCAGTTTTCTCTTTCTAACAAGTTTATTCATATCCATTTTTTGTTTCTTCTTATAAGGAAGACATTTTTTCCTTCCCATAAGTTTTTACTGCTAAATTCACACGTTTAATTTTTTTTAGTCTTCAATTACCTTGATTGAGTAATTTGAAAGCAGAAACTTCCTGCCATTAGTATCTTCACAGGAAAAAAATTAAGAAAAGAAAAACACATGCCCAAAAATTCCCTAAGCTTTTCCATATTCCTAAAAGCAAAATGTAACACTAGAAGTATAAATAAAATCAATACATTGAGAACTTCTAAGGCTGGTTTTCAATGGCACCAGTCATTCCATTCTTAATGGAATGAAAAACTGAAATGGAAATGAGGGAGATGAAATGAGATTCTATCAAAAAAGACTCCAGCAGATTGAGGGTTAGGGTGAAAATCCCAGGAGGTATAATGAGGGGAAGGGAGTAAACTGTATAGTCAGAGCTCCACTCCAGGCAGGAGTGGCCCGGAAGAAGTCATGCAAACACAGAGCCAGGCCAGGCTGCCACAAGCATGGCTGAGATCAGCTTTTCAGATGTCAGACCTGGGGTCGGCCATAGGAGGAGCTTAGAAACCACAGCTACTTTTCAAGTTGTGTCCTTTATGGTATTTGTGGGGAAAGGGCCAACAATAGCCAGGGGGATGTTTACCAAAGTCATTCTCCAGCACCTCCCACAGAAACGCTTGTGGAAATCACTGCCAAAGCTTACAAGGGAATCAAACAGAAGGAACGGAGCACAGCCATGTAAAACATGCCCTAGTCATTTCGTAAGCTCTGTTTCTTCACAGATGGCTGCTGTGGAAGAAATGACTGCTTATAGAAAACAGAGATCCAAAAAATTAATCCAGCCACTGGGATGAAAGCAGGATGAAAAATGATTTCATTCTATAATTCGCATTGGTGATTTACCAGGTCTGGGCTATAAAAAACATCTAGGGATAAAACTGCTACTCAAAAGCAGATATGGCAAAGGTGAGGGAATGGTGTGAAGGGCAGGTACTGCTGAAGATCTCTAGAGTCAAAAAAGCATTCATCAAATTAAAATAGAATGTCCCACAGATCAGCAAAGCCAGGTGGGAGTCCGTAGCTCATACATACCATTGTATTTCCAAGAGATGGGAGATTCCAGGCTCTGAAAGGGACCAAACAGAAGCTCACCTGCTGTGGCAGTACCCAGAGCTGAAAAAAGAGGAGGATGCCAAAGGAATTCAGCCTTCCCTAATCGACACTCTCAAGATTGGGCTTTGGGACTCTTGGGGGTCTAATAAGCTATGGCTCTTATATCATCACAACAACTGCTTTGGTTCCTTCATTCTTTTAGAACTTAGATGGGCTTCTTTAGATTTCACAGGTTGATGATACATTACTGCTTTGGATGTCCCTTCAGTATCATGGTTCAATCCAATGCCCATGTCTACATTTCTTTCACTGCCTTTACACTGCTGTACAATTAGGCTTCATCTGCCACTCCACAAACACACAAATATCTCCCTACTTCCTCACCCCTCAAGTCCTGTTGGGAGCTAAGTCTGAAGCTTCACCTTTCCAGATCTATTCTACATTCCTTTTGAAAAGGCAGAGAACAAGGAACGTAGCAGCTGTGAGCTCTGAGGCAGTGAATTCACAGTGCCCAGCAGTCCTCGAGAGTCAGCTGCAGTGTCCATCAGGGCAAAGACTGACAGTTTGTTTCAACACTGAATACAGTTAGTACGCGACAAGGAGCAGGAGCTCAGTAACTCTTGGTAATAATCTGTCATCTTTTTCCCCCTGAAATCAATTTATTATTCTTTTTTTTTCCGGCTAGAGTGCAGTGGTGTGATCTCGGTTCACTGTAACCTCCACCTTCCAGGTTCAAGTCATTCTCTTGCCTCAGCCTCCTGAGTAGCTGGGATTACAGATGCACACCACCATGGCCAGCTAACTTTTATATTTTTAGCAGAGATAGGGTTTTGTCATGTTGGCCAGGCTGGTCTTAAATGCCTGACCTCAGGTGATCTGCCTGCCTTAGCCTCCCAAAGTGCTGAGATTACAGGCATGTGCCACCACAGCTGGACCATTTTACCCTTTTATTCTCAAATTATTCTCTCTACTGGACAAGGAAAGGTTTAAAAATCAGTGAATCATGGTTTTAGAGAATTATTTAACCTAAAAGGCAGGGCCAAAATCTCAAAGGGTCTCAAATTTATCCCAATGACCAAAGCTCCTTCTCCTCCTCTTCTTCCTTCTTTTCCTATTCCTGCTTTTCTTCTTCTTCATATCTTGAACCACATGACAAGAAAAAAATATCTAGACTCTTTACCTGTGTTAATTCATTTACTCTTCATGAAAACTATATAAGGCAGTTACTATATTATGTCAATTTTTACAGATGAGGAAACAAGTGATTGTGTTGCCTGCCAAACATCAGCACACAACTGAGATCAAATCCAGGATCTGAACTCAGGCCATCTCACTCTAGAATGTCAGCTCCTAACTGTTCTGTATACTACAGGTGGCACTATGTCCTGAAGGACAGCTGTTAAGAAAGCCAACTGAAGCCTATGAGGAACAGTATCATGGCCATTCATTTCACAAATATTTATTAAGTGCCTACTATATACCAATATACTAGGTGCTGGGAATGTCCCCAGCAGCGTCACTGTTCCTGTCTAGCCAACATTCCTGTTGCTTTCCTAATTGTCATTTGTCATAGCACCCAGAGAGTAAGCATGCTGAATCCATTAGAAAAGGAAACTCAAGAGTGAGTTCTTCTTCCATATCTGTATCCTTTAAACTTACTTATTACAGAAAATTATCATCACTACCTTCAGCATTACTTGGGACTCCAGCAAGAACCAGCTGGGACTATGTAGCAGCCTGGAATGCACAGTTACAGAACTGAATGGAAATAGGAAAATGAACACAATGTTGTCAGGAAGTCTCTCTCTGCCCAATGATTAGATAGAGGAGATGCATTGGGAGCTCTAAGGAGCATGGCTTATTTTTGCCCCTTCTTCCCTTGGGAAAGTCTTCAAGATTGGAGGAGTTACAGCTGCCCAGTCACTTTCTCTCCACCTTAGAGAGAAAGCAGGAAAGCAGAGTGGCACACACCCCCAAGCAGAATTCCTGAGTCAAAGGCAGGCTGCTGACATCTGCAGCCTCTCGGTTTCATTTGACCTTCACCTTGTACGGAACCCACCCGTGCAGCACAGGACAAACCCCTTCTCCCAAGGCTGCTGAATCAGCCACATTGGGAGTAGCAAGAGAGAAGTTTCAGACTCCTGAGACATTTGGTCTATTCAGCACCATGAAGGAAACAGCAGTCGCTCAGTGAGAGAATTAAAATCAGGAGCTGGCTGAATAAAGGTGATAAAAATAGATTTTCCGACTCCACAAAGATGAATCATTTTGCCATGGGGATTCGCCAGGCTCTGTTTCAACCTGGTTTTCAACCCAGCCTCATAAATTTGGCGAAGGAAAATTTTGTTCCCCTGGATAACCAGTGCCATGGAGCATTTAGCATTCAGACAGGTCTAAAGGACTTTATGAGACAACTGTCCAGAAATAACCCCCATTCCTTTCCCAGACTGCAGTAAATAGTGACTTTGAAGGACAAGGACTAAGTGGGCTAGGCTGGAGACGCAGACCTTCCCTCCAGACTCCTCCCTCCCTCCCCAAGGCTCTCCTCACTTCTTTCCCTCCCCTTTTTAAAAAGCAAAGGGGGCCACGGAGTCAGGAGCAGAAGGTGATGGAGCTCAGGTGAAGCAGCCCTACCATGAATGCAGCCACATCTCCTTTTTATTTTGACTAAACTAATGGAGTTATGTGCCTTCCACCACATACCAGAAAAGAAAAAACAATGTTTTCCTTAGGGAATTTTTTTAAAAAGAAGTTAATTAAAAGCAACAAGTGCTAACAGTTATCAAATGATAAAATGAAGCCACAGGAAAGTAATTTTTATATTATTTTTGCATACTAATAAGTGCATAAAAATTAACTTTTTTTAACCAAGTATTAGTCTAAATAGTGTTCTTCTTTCCACCATGGATACCCCTAAGCATGTATATTTTTATAATGAATTTTACTTACCCCCACATGTCCTCACACTCCACACTGAAATCCAGCCGACCCACTCTGGGGGATGGGAGGGGCACCTCTCCATGTGCTCCTAGTCAACCCCAGCACAGCAGCTGAAATGCCCTTACATTTCCTTTCCCAAAACAGCCGTCACCACTGCCACCCCCTGCTCTGTCCACAAGCAGGCTGCAGCGGCTGAAATGCTGATGCAGTCAAAGGGAACTGACTGGAAGAGAGCTGATTGCCACACCTATTGGAGAGGGAGGCGGAGAAGCCCGCTCCCTCTGAGGAAAGGGAATGGCATCTTCAGAGGCAGAGATGCCCGGATTGGAATTCTGCAGAGAGCTTTGTGTCAGCCACTAGCACATAGTAGGTTTGCAGTATTGTTAGGAAATCCGGATCTGGAAAAAGCACCCAAGTGGGACCTGAGGAACAAAGATTCAAATCCCATCTCTGGAACGAAGTTGCCGCCTGACTCCAGGCAAGTCACTGCCTTCTGGCCTCAGTTTCCTTGTTTGTAAATTAATAGTGTTTCAAAAAGTACATCTCTAAGTGGCTTCTAGTTCTGAGATTCTAGGAACATCCTAATACTTGTGAGCATAATAAACAGTAATCTACCATTTACTGAAAACATACTGTGTACCATCCACCATGTTAGGTATCTTATGTATATCATCTTATTTAATCCCACAATGCTGAGATGGGATTTTATCAACCCCATCTTATAGATGAGGAAACTGGCAAACTCACTCACATGAATCCCCATGAAAATAAAGGATCATCATATCCACTCTGTGTTTTGAATTTAAATGGAGGCATTCAATCTTTGTGCCTGAAATTAAGATGACATCTGAGAATGGAATTTCTGCACTGCTGGGAGATTAATGTGTTTACAGTCCTCTGCTGGTATAATTCTGAGGTACTAGTATTTATGGTTATGGCCGTTCGTGCTACTGCAAAATCCATTTTCCACCTGTTGCTTTTTATTAAACCTCCCTAAAGGACATGAAATATTTCTTTCTGCAGATTCTAAAAACAGGATGCTGAAATATGTGAGCAGAAACATCATGTGCGGAGTTACCATTTGGAATTTTCAAATGCTATAAAACACAATGTTTACAACCAATTCATCATTTGTAAAAGTTTATTGGATTAATATGCCAATGGACTCACTGGTATCCTGCCATTTATTGATACCAATACATCAAGTGGTAGACTGACATTTAATATTTATTAAAAACTTCTGTATTTCCTTGCTGATTTCATAGTTTCCTTGCATTATGCTCTTTTATCTTTATTGTCATTCATTCCATTTTAAGTGAACTTTTAATTTTAGAATAGTTTTTAGATTTATAGAAAACTACAAAGATAATAGGCAGAGTTTCAGTATAACTCACATCTTACATCTTACGTTCCTATGGTACATTTATCACAATTAACGAATAAACACTGCTACAGTACTATTAACTAAATCCATGTTTTATTTGGATTTCATTCGTTTTTCCCTAATGTACTTTCTCTGTTTTAAGGTCCCACCTAGAATGCCATATATTTAATCATGATGTCTCCTTAACATTTTCTGGATTTTCCTTGTTTCTCAGACACGCCTTGCTTTTGATGGCCTTGACAATTTTGAAGAATACTGGTCAGATATTCTGTAGAATATCCTTCAATTTAGGTTTGTCTGATACTTTTTCCATGGCTGGGGATACAGCCATGGAAAAAGTATCAGACAAACCTAAATTGTGAGGAGAAAGTGTGATGTTTTTAACCCTGAGGGAAAAGAGGAAAAGTACCACTCCTATAACCTCCTATCAACCATCCTATTTTTAAATGTTATGTTTAAGTTAAATAAAAAAATTTAAACTGAATACAGTTAAATTTTAGAAAGGAAAAATTAGATCTCGAACTACTCAGGAATCTAGTATTTGATACTTTGGACAGAGTGACAGAGAGGAATTAATTTTTGCACCCATTTGAGATGAAGGTAGACCTAACATTCTAGCAGAAAGCCAACTAATTACAAGAGAGGTGTCTAGTAAGTTCTTTTGAAATGCTTGCCAAGGCAAACTTCCTACAAAAACAATCCAGAGGAAGGCACGTTTTAAGAGAAGTGCTGTTTCAGCCTAGCCTGGTGTTCACTTTCAAATGATACTTTCATATATTTGGTGATTTTTTTTTCCTGTTGTCAAACAACAAAATCGCTACAGACTTGGATTTGGAATACACACTAAGAATTAGTTCCACAGAAAGTTATCCTCTAGGTAAGCTGCAACTATGGAAAAAAAGCAGTCAGACTTCGCCTGAAATATGTACTTCCTGCTATTATGTATTTTTTGCTCACAGTTTGTAACTGAAGGTCTACTCCTAAGGGGAAAAAAAGTGAGGAACTGATGTAATGTCACAAATTCTGCTAACTGCTGCTCAATGAAAGATAAGGGAGAACAAGTGGTTTCTTTCTTCAAAGAATGACATTTTTTTCCTCAGGAGCAGGAAAGGAAAGAAAAATGAAGGGGGAAAAAAGCTTTATAGGACTGCTATATATAACCTTCCACCTCTGCAAAAAATAATTATGGAAACAAATTTGGAAAAATAGTTTGTGGTGCACAAAGAGGATATTTGACTTCAGCTAGCAAGTCTAGGCATTCAAAACACTCGTGAATAAGAATTTAAGTGCTTAGCTGGCCAACCCACTGTTTGGGCTAAACTGTCTCTTCTTCCCTCCCCCAATTCATATCTTGAACTCCTAACCCTTTCTAACTCAGTGACTGTAGTGACTGTAAGGACATAATTAAGTTATATGAGGTCATCTGAGGGGGCCCTTATCCAATATGACAGTGTCCTTATTAAAAGGTAAAATAGGCTGGGCGCGATGGCTCATGCCTGTAATCTCAGCGCTTTGGGAGGCCAAGGCAGGTGGATCACAAAGTCAAGAGATCGAGACCATCCTGGTCAACATGGTAAAACCCCGTCTCTAGTAAAAATACAAAAAAAAATTAGCTGGGCATGGTGGCGTGTGCCTGTAATCCCAGCTACTCAGGAGGCTTGCCTGAACCCAGAATGGACTGAACCCAGGAGGCGGAGGTTGCAGTGAGCCGAGACCGTGCCACTGCACTCCAGCCTGGGTAACAAGAGCGAAACTCCGTCTCAAAAAAAATAAAATAAAATAAAAATAAAAATGTAAAATATGGACACAGATATATACGAGGAAAGACCATGTAAAGACACAGGGAGAAGGCAGCCATCTGTGAGCCAACAAGATAGGCCTCAGAACAAACTCACTCTGCTCATACCTTGATCTCAGACTTCTAACCTCTGGAATTGGCAAAATAAATTTCTATTATTTAAAGTCATGTAATCTGTGGTACTTTGTTATGGCCGTCAGAGTAAACTAATACACTCATCTGGTACCAAAAATGAAATATCAAAGGTATAAGAGAGGCTGCAGGGTACGAGATTGGGTACCTATGACATCTCAATGAATCGCCAATTATATGAAGACCTTTTCTTTTATTTGCGACAGGGTCTCACTGCATCACCCAGGCTGGAGTCCAGTGGCACAATCACGGCTCAGTGCAGCCCTACACTGCATCACCCAGGCTGGAGTCCAGTGGCACAATCACGGCTCAGTGCAGCCCTAACTTCCCAGGCCCAAGTGATTCTCCTATCTCCGCCTCTTAAGTATCTGGAACTACAGGCGTGCACTACCACGTCTGGCTAGTTTTGTTGTATTTTTAGCAGAGACAAGGTTTTGCCATGTTGCCCAGGCTGGACTTGAACTCCTGGTCCACCTGCCTTGGCCTCCCAAAGTGGTCCACCTGCTTTGGCTTCCCAAAGTGCTGGGATTATAGGCATGAGCCACTACGATGGTTTTTCTGTCATAATTTTCAATTCTAAGTGCTATTGCTAATTACTTTTCCTGTAGTGTCAGATTCCTTTTTTCACTTCTTTCTCCTTCTCCCAGTCACTGCCAATGTGAATCAAACACTCCAAAGACAATACGATAATTTGGAGGGGGAGGGAAACTTCATAGCTTGTGGTTAGAGAAAAAAAAGTCTTCATATATACTTAAACATAAGGATTTAACTTCAAAATAATCCATTCATTAACCTAGTCCAAATTTTGTAACTTCTTCCCTGAGTTTCAAACCAGCATTTCTAATAGTCTGCCAGACATCTGCACATGAATATCTTTTAGAGATAGCCAACTCAACATGTCCAAAAGAGAATGCATCTTTTCTTTTAGAGCCCATTTCTCATTCTCATGTTCCCATGATTCCTATTAATGGCATCAGTATCCTCCACGTTGCTCAAGTCCAAAATGCAAACGTCATCTTCCTAAGTTATCTGTTGTATTTCATCAGTTCTAGGATGTACACTTTTTTTAACCTCCGAAATAAAGATGCATTTTTTTCATTGCCAGTGTCTTAGCATTGTGCCATCATTAAATTGGCAGCTCTTAAAAATGAGCTGTAATTTTTAAAAATGGTGTGTCTCATTATTGATGGCACATTACATGTAGTGAAAAGCAAATCCTGTCTCCTCATCTCTAATCCCACTGCTTCTATAAGGTTTAAGTGTTCATCCTCTCCCATTTGGACTACTAATCTTCTACTTGACTTTTATTGGTCTGTTCCCATAATCAGCTTTCTACACAGCCACCTCAGTTATCTGGAACATAAGATTCCCTTGTTTTCAGTGGCTCTTACTGGCCACAAAATGAGTACAAACACCCCCAGATGGCATTTCAGGTCTCAGCTTACTATTCCTGGTCCACTTTCCAAGCATGGATTTTTCTCAGGGACTCTGCATCCAGCTGCAGTCACCAGACCCAGTGTCAATAATGCAAATAATAGCAACTTCCAGATAAGACTCAGGTTCTTCTGACTCAGAGCCTTTCTCATTCCATGCCCTGAAGCTAGTTGTTCTTCCTCTAACTCCATGATCACTATCTGTAGATGCCCTGTTCAAATCCCATGTCTTCTAAAGTTCTTAATCTCAAATCGAAATTCTTCCTTAGTCTTCCTTGCATATTCATGAACATTTCACAATCTACTTTACATTTGACCTTCCCTCTATACTTGTCTTCTAGAAAGTAGTCACCTAAAAGGCAGAAATTAGAATTATGTCTTAAATCGTAAGTGGATTTTTACTTGGAAGGCAAGAGAGAAAACACATTATCTCTATTTGGTGTATATGTGCAGAAGAAAATTAGAAAAAAGACCTTGGATGTCATGCAACAAAGGTTATCTAAGGAAAACTGTGTTATCTTTAAAGTCCCATATGCACAAGGAACCCATGCTCAGGAAAATGAGAGATCTCTGCTGTGGCTGTTCAATAGATGGATACAACCATTTCATTCTTCATGACGAGCAGCTTCTAAAAAGCACCCAGCGATCCCTTCCTCCTGGCATTTAGACCCTTGTGTAACCTCCTCCCCTTGGAATGTGGGCTGGACCTTGTGACTTGTTTTTAATTAATAGAATAAGGTAGAACTGATAAAACATCACTTCAGAGATTAGGTTATAAAGGACTATGACTTCCATCTTGCTTGTCTTCTCCCTCCCTTTCTCTTTCTCTGGCCCTTCCTGCTCGCTCACTCTGATGATGCAAGCTGCAACCCTATAACCTGCTCTATAGGAAGACCCATATGGCAAGTAACTAAGGATGGCTTTGGCCAACAGCCTGTGAGGAACTGAATCCTGCCAATATCCACGAGTGAGCTTAGAAGTGGAAGTTCTAAGCTCGTCACTTGGCCTGGAAATGATACTGACCAACACCTTGAATGCAGCCTTGTGACAGACCCTGAACTCAGCTAAGCCTTGCTCAAATTCCTGACACACAAGAACTATGAGATAATAAATGCTGTTGTTTTAAGCCACTAAGTTCTGGGGTAATTTGTTATACAGCAATGGATACTTACAACTCTGGCCAAGTAAGAAAACCAGGGCTGGGCGCATGGTGGCTCACACCTGTAATCCCAGCACTTTGGGAGGCCAAGGCAGGCGGATCACAAGGTCAGGAGATGGAGACCATCCTGGCCAACATGGTGAAACTCTGTCTCTACTAAAAATATAAAAAATTAGCTGGGCATGGTGGCGTGCGCCTGTAGTCCCAGCTATTTAGGAGGCTGAGGCAGGAGAATCGCT